TCATATGTCGTTTAGCTACATAATAATGTCATATGTCATTTTGCAACTTAATAATATCATATGTAATTTTGCAACATAATAATACCATATGCCATTTTGTAACATAATAATGTTATATGTATTTTTGCAATTTATTAATGTCATATGTCATTTTGTGACCTAATAATATCATATGTCATATCGCAACTTAATAATATCAGAGGTAAATTTGCATTTTAATAATATCATATGTCATTTTACAACCTAATAATTTTATATGTCATTTTGCAACTTAAAAATATTATATGTCATTTTGCAACTTAATAATGTCATATGTCATTTTGCGACCTAATAATATCTTATGTCATTTTGCAACATAATAATATCATATGTCATTTTGCAACTTAATAATATCATATATCATTTTACAACTTAATAATGTCGTATGTCATTTTGCAACCTTATAATATCATATGTCATTTTGCAATTTAATAATTTCATATTTCAATTTTCATCTTAATAATATCATATGTCATTTTTCAACTTAATAATGTCGTATGTCATTTTGCAACCTTATAATATCATATGTCATTTTGCAACATAATAACATCATATGTCATTTTGCAACTTAATAATATAATATGTCAATTTGCAACTTATTACCATCATATGTCATTTTGCTACATAATAATATAATATGTCATTTTGCTACTTATTAATGTCTAATGTCATTTTGCAACCTAATAATATCATATGTCATTTCGCAACATAATAATATCATATGTCATTTTGCATTTAATAATATCATATGTCATATTCCAACTTAAAAATATATTAAGTCGTTTTACAACTTAATAATATCATATGTCATTTTGCAACATTATTATATCAGTTGTCATTTCCCAAATTATTAATGTCATATGTCATTTTGCGACCTAATAATATCATATGTCATTTCACAACTTAATAATGTCGTATGTCATTTTGCGACCTTATAATATCATATGTCTTTTTACAACTTAATAAGATCATATGTCAGTTTGCAACTTAATAGTATTATATGTCATTTTACAACTTAAAATTTTTATATGTCATTTTGCAACTTAATAATATCATATATCATTTTGCAACTTACTAATATCATATGTCATTTTGCATTTTAATAACATCATATGTCATTTTGCAACTTAATAATATCATATGTCAATTTGTAACTTAACAATATCATTTGTCATTTTACAACTTAATAATTTTATTTGTCATTTTGCAACTTAATAATATCATATGTCATTTTGCAACTTAATAATATTATATGTCATTTTGAAACCTATTAACATCATATGTCATTTTGCAACTTAATAATATCATATTTCATTTTGCAACATAATAATATCATATGTCATTTTGCAATTTATTAATGTCATATGTCATTTTGCGACCTAATAATATCATATGTCATTTCTCAACATAATAATATCATATGTCATTTTGCAACTAAATAATATCGTATGTCATATTGCAACTTTATAATATCATATCTCATTTTACAACTTAATAATATCATATGTCATTTTGCAACTTAACAATAGCATATGTCATTTTGCAACATAATAATATGGTATGTCATTTTTCAACATAATAATGTCATATGTCATTTTGCAACTTATTAATGTCATATATCATTTTGCAACTTAATAAAATTATATGTCATTTTGCAACATGATAATATCATATGTCATTTTGCAATTTAATAATATCATATGTCATTTTGCAACATAATATTATTATTTGTTATTTTCAACATAATAATATCATATGTCATTTTGCAACTTAATAGTATCATATGTCATTTTACAACTTAATAATATCATTTGTCATTTTGCAACATAATAATATCATATGTCGTTTTGCAACATAATAATGTCATATGTCATTTTGCAACTTAACAATATCATATGTCATTTTGCAAATTAATAATATCATATGTCATTTTGCAACATAATAATATCATATGTCATTTTGCAACTTATTAATGTCATATGTCATTTTGCGACTTAATAATATCATATGTCATTTTGCAACTTAATAACATTATATGTCATATAATAATATCATATGTTATTTTTCAACATAATAACTACATATGTCGTTTAGCTACATAATAATGTCATATGTCATTTTGCAACTTAATAATATCATATGTAATTTTGCAACATAATAATACCATATGTCATTTTGCAACATAATAATGTTATATGTCTTTTTGCAACTTATTAATGTCATATGTCATTTTGTGACCTAATAATATCATATGTCATATCGCAACTTAATAATATCAGAGGTAAGTTTGCATTTTAATAATATCATATGTCAAATTACTACCTAATAATTTTATATGTCATTTTGCAACTTAAAAATATTATATGTCATTTTGCAACTTAATAATGTCATATGTCATTTTGCGACCTAATAATATCTTATGTCATTTCGCAACATAATATTATCATATGTCATTTTTCAACATATTAATATCATATGTCATTTTGCAACATAATAATAACATATGTCATTTTGCAACGTAATAATATCATATGTCATTTTGCAACTTAATAATATCATATGTCATTTTGCAATTTAATAATGTCATATGTCATTTTGCAACATAATATTATTATATGTCATTTTTTAACATAATAATATCATATGTCATTTTGCAACTTAATAGTATCATATGTCATTTTACAACTTAATAATATCATATGTCATTTTGCAACATAATAATATCGTATGTCGTTTTGCAACATAATAATGTCATATGTCTTTTTGCAAAATAATAATATCATACGTCATTTTGCATCATAATAATATCATATATCATTTTGCAACTTAATAAAATCATATGTCATTTTTCAACTTAATAGTATCATATGTCATTTTGCAACTTAATAATATCATATATGTGAGCAGCCGTGGCGCAGTGGTAGCGCACTTGTTTCAGAAACCTAAGATCCGTGGTTCAAACCCCACCTTTGAACAAGTTTTGCGACATCGGTTGGGAAGGAGGCGTGAACTTCCTATTAAATGCTTTTCCGCGGTGCTCTGTGATAAGACCGTAAGGACTTCTCCGGGCACCTAAATCAACATTAAAAAAATATATATATATATCATTTTGAAGCATAATATTATCATATGTCATTTTGCAACTTGTTAATGTCATATATCATTTTGCAACTTAATAATATCATATGTCATTTTGCAACTTAACAATAACATATGTCATTTTACAACTTAATGATAACATATGTAAATTTGCAACTTAATAATATGATATGTTTTTTGCAACTTAATAGTTTTATATTTCATTTTGTACCTTAATAATATCATATGTCACTTGGCAACTTAATAATATTATATATGACATATATATAACTTATGTCGTTTTGCAATTTAATAATATCATATTTCTATTTGCAAACTGCTAATATCATATGTCATTTTGCAACATATTAATATCATATATTATTTTTCAACTTATCAATGTCTTATGTCAATTTGGAACTTAATAATATCAATTGTCATTTTACAACTTAATAATATCATATGTCATTTTGCAACATAATAATATCATATGTCATTTTGCAACAAAATAATGTCATATGTCATTTTGCAACATAGTTATATCATATATCATTTTGCAACATAACAATATCATATCTCATTTTGCAGTTTAATAATATCGTATGTCTATTTGCAACATAATAATATCATATGTCATTTTGCAACATATTAATATCATATGTTATTTTTCAACTTATCAATGTCTTATGTCAATTTGGAACTTAATAATATCAATTGTCATTTTACAACTTAATAATATCATATGTCATTTTGCAACATAATAATATCATATGTCATTTTGCAACAAAATAATGTCATATGTCATTTTGCAACATAGTTATATCATATATCATTTTGCAACATAACAATATCATATCTCATTTTGCAGTTTAATAATATCGTATGTCTATTTGCAACATAATAATATCATATGTCATTTTGCAACAAAATAATGTCATATGTCATTTTGCAACATAGTTATATCATATATCATTTTGCAACATAACAATATCATATCTCATTTTGCAGTTTAATAATATCGTATGTCTATTTGCAACATAATAATATCATATGTCATTTTGCAACAAAATAATGTCATATGTCATTTTGCAACATAGTTATATCATATATCATTTTGCAACATAACAATATCATATCTCATTTTGCAGTTTAATAATATCGTATGTCTATTTGCAACATAATAATATCATATGTCATTTTGCAACATATTAATATCATATGTCATTATTCATCTTATTAATGTCACATGTCAATTTGCAACTTAATAATATCATATGTCATTTAACAACTTAATAATTTTATATGTCATTTTGCAACATAATAATATCATATGTCATTCTGCAACTTAATAATTTCTTATGTCATTTTGCGACCTAATAAAATCATATGTCATTTCGCAACTTTATTATATCATATGTCATTTTGCAACTTATTAATGTCATATGTCATTTCGCGACCTAATAATATCTTATGTCATTTTGCAACATAATAATATCATATGTCATTTTGCAACATAATAATATCATATGTCAATTTGCAACTTAATAATATCATATATCATTTTACAAGTTAATAATGTCGTATGTCATTTTGCGACCTTATAATATCATATGTCAATTTGCAACTTAATAATATCATATGTCAATTTGCAACTTAATAATATCATATGTCATTTTTCAACTTAATAATTTTATATGTCATTTTGCAACATAATAATATCATATGTCATTTTGCAATTTATTAATTTCATATGTCATTTTGCGACCTAATAATATCATATGTCATTTTGCAACATATTAATATCTTATGTCATTTTGCAAAATATTTCTCTAAATACTAAATTGCTAACTTAATAAAATAGTCTTCTTTATGCTTTAATTATAATTGGTGATTGACACATGCTACATTTTCATTTAGCTGCAGGCAGATACAACAAAGTTGTCTGATTGCGTGGATATATGGCTGGATATAATTGAAAACCCTGGTTTGGAGAACTATGGTCAGTTTTTAGAAAACGCTGTTTAGAAACTATGCAGTCATTTCATTATTTAGCCTACATGCTAGATCCAAGGAAAAAAGGTAGGCAAATGAAAAATAACAAAGATAGCTTTACAAAACATATAAGGTATTTGTTCTGAAATATTGGTAGTAAATATATTTTTTGGACAATTTAAGGCTAGTCTTGTTATTAACTTATTTTTTATGTGACTTTAGTTTTTACTTTTTAACATCACATGATGTAGCCGGTGTGTACTGTGTAGTTTGTGTAGGTGAGGACTGCCTGATAATGAATAATAATTATAATATGAACCTGAAACTCATAGAATTACTAATTTTGCTCTTTAGGAAATAGAAGACTCACAATGGAACAGCAGAATGAGGGAGAAGAGTGGTTAAATATTCGACACCCTAATTTTGTACCATTTGTTCTGGCTTTCACAGCAGAAGATACAGAAATATATCCCAGCTCCATGTTCAGAGAAAGTGTCGTGAAAACGTTTTCTGCTGCAAAATGGTGGAAAATATTGATTTCCAAAATTTCTGCAACTCAAGAACATGATGCCCATCCAGAAAATGCTGCTCTGCCATTGCCATTCTGCCAGTTTGTGTTCAACTTACACAGTGTTCCAGTTTTGTCTGCTTCTCTCGAAAAGATTTTTTCAAACTTTAGCTACATTTGGTCCACGACAAGAAATCGTTTGGGCACAGAGAAAATGGCAAAGCTTGCCAAAGTGTATTGCCACTTGCGAGAAGCAAATGATAATTGACTGTTATAAAAGTTGTTTATCAGTTGTTCAGTAGTTTAGTAGTGCATTAAATTTAATCAAATCAATTGCGTAATTATTTTCCAATTTATATGGTATTTTAAAACAAATTCAACAAAATTTGAAAAAGACCACTTGTGAAAAAGTCCATTGGTTTTTTTCGGGTGGAACCGTCCAAAAAAAACCGCTGGTTTTTTTTGGCCCGGGCCCACTTGCCGGAACCTTGGTTTCTAGTAGGTTTTGAGTATAAATATTATGCAAATGAGGCGAAAGAAGAGATCCCTGTCTCATTGCTTGCGTTAGATAGAAAGAATATGATTTGCAATCTGGATAAGAAACAAAAGCACTGCTTTCATAGTATAATGACGATATGGTATTAACAGTATACAGAGGGAGTTTTTTTACCATTGTACAGTCTCTCAAACAGAATGTCCCAATTGCGGCTGTCAAACGCTTTTTCAGCATCTAGGGAACAGAGATAGACAGGTGAGTTGTTGTTGTTGAAGTGTTTAATTGTTTCACTAATAACAAATTTAGCGTGTAGGGTTGAGCTATTTTTAGCTCAACCTTACACGCGAATTGAAATCGAATTAAAGAGGGTGAGTTTCTTTTATTTCTGGAAAGATTAGTAGGATAAGATATTCTATTAGTTTTGTAAAGATTGGAATGATGCTAATACCGCGGTAGTTATTTGGATTAGTTAACGATTTTTTTTACGATTTAGCAAGTGGTATTATAAGTGATGTAGGCATCAATTTTGGGGTCTGTTCATAATTAATAGAAAAGTGAAAAAATTTTATGAGCCACTCTTTTAGTGCTTTACAGCTTGCATTCTTTAAATGTTCAGTTGATATTCCGAAGGCGTCCTTGGATTTGTTTAAAGTAAGGCGAGAAATAACCGTTTTTAAATTTTCATCCAATATTATTACCTCGTCGAATTTTGTGCATGGTGGAATTTTTAAATTTGTAGAGGTATATGTGATTGCCAAATTCTTTCGTGATCGAGTCTTTATCTTTTTTATTATTTATGGTTTACAATTTCAAATTGGCATCTTTTTTTATATTTCTGAAAGTTTTCCGAAAATGTTTTGGATTTGTACTTTTTGACGTTTCGATTTTTATGTATTCTTTGTACAGGTTTTTGTTTTGAGCATTTTTTACAGCATGGCGGAAATTTTTTCGTGCCGTCCGGTATCGAATAAAAATTTGCGTCTTTAACGAACCCAGTTTCCCGCCATTTTTTAAAATAAAATGAAAGAACATTTTTACTACGGCTTAACTTGGGTGTCCACCAGAATTTTGAATGCAATGACGGTTTTTTCATGGATAAATATTGACTAAATGCCTCAGATGCCGATTTTGTAATAACAGTATATACTTTGATAAGTTCTTCATCGTAATTGTCATTCGTAAAATTGTGAAAATTAAATTTATTATTTAAGCGATTGTTATATAATTGTAAAAAATCATTGTTATTCCAGGCATAATTATGAAATGCTGTACTTGTCTGAGTTTTTATGATTGTTTTCTTGAGAAGATTGTTCAATAATTTCAACTTCAATCAATACTGGTAAATGATCACTCATCTTTTGAGATAAAAAAGGAATTACGAAACAATTGGAATAAAGAAGAGACGTATACTTTGAGAAAGCTATGTGATCTATGTAAGATGGGTTTGGTAATGTATTATGGTGATACGTTAACTTAGGTCCAGAGCCTTTTTGTTACGTCCACTAATTCAAGTTCATTCGACTTAATAAAATTTGATAAAACTACTGAGTAGTTATTTTTCGTAGAGTTAGCTTTCTTTAATGTATCATATATTCCGTGAGGAAAAGATTAAAAGTTGCCAAGAACAATAAATTCAGCAACATCCTTGTAGTTATTAATAACACCTGAAATTATATCTAACTGACTCTTGTAATTCTCCAGTGATTTTTGATTATTGCGCGACAATTAAAGAAAAATGCCAATAATACCCAATGAGAAAAAAGATATCTTTAGACGAATGGCGTCTTTTTTATGATTTGTTTTGTCTTTTTATAATCAGCCTAAATAAAGACGTGGAAAGGACGTCTTTTAAAAAGACGTCTTCAAAAAAGAGGTCGAAAAGACGTCAATCGGTTTTACGTCTTTAACAAGACGTAGAAAAGACGTCTTTTATATCGATGACCTTTAAAAAAAGAAATGAGAAAATTTTCGTTGTTAATAAGGAAATCATTATTTGCTTTTTTAGAAAATTGAAAATAATTATTGCCAATAAAACCTAAAAAAGATGGGTCTTAACCCACAGTATCGCAATTACGATATTTTTGTTTACAAAATACTTTTATAAAAAAATTTTTATGTGCAACGTCTTAAGAATTGTTATTCATAACAATTATGAATAACAATTCTTAAGGTGTATTAGCTGAATTATCTTTTTGTTTTGATAGCCTTTAGTCAATAACGGATTTTTAAATTGTTATGAGTCTACAACACCTAATTTCAGCGAAATTCAATTAAAAAGTTACGTCATAGAAGACAGAAAAATACCAATATCTGTTTTCAATAAGTTAGCTTTCATAGCAAATCTGAGAGGTGCAAATGTTTATCTTGGTTTAAGTACTACATAATAAAATACATAGTTGTACAGTGATTTTGAATGTCGTAAATTTCTTTAGCACACTCATTTTTATTTAATATTTAACCCGCAGTATCGTAATTACGACATTTTTGTTACTTAACAATATATTTTTAGACTGTTTACCGTTTGACTCCTGTCCCAATCTAACCTAGTGGGTTCAAAAAGAAAGGACCGCGCTGGAAACATGAGGGTGTTAAAAGAATCAGCCCTTTTTGAATTAATAGTGGGTAAGTCTAATATGGTTCACTCAGCTTATCAATTTTCATTTGATTTTTTGTATTACACTCAAGCAATAAACAGTTTTTTATGTTCACTAGTTTTTTAGAAGTCGTAATCAGCTCGTATGAAAAAATTTCTCGACGTGAAAAAGTTGATTTTATTCAATAACGCCAAGAAACAGAGCTCGCTCAAGAAACAGAAAAGAAAGAGAAAGATGAAAAAATATTCTGTTGAGCAATACTGTGGTTTTCTTTATAAATTATATTCCTATGTTTAAACATATAAAAAATGTAAAAAATGCTTCCTCTTTTATATTGATGTCAAAAAGAGGTTTTTTTCTCGGCATCAGAGCTTTTTGTCATACTTTGTATGAAGAGCTATTATCATTTTCATTTCATAAAAACAGCTTTTAATATATGAAAAGTAGGAATACTATAATGTATAGGATACTATATTATACTTATAAGTATGACAAAAAAGTCGTTCCGACCCCGAGAAAAAACATTTTTTTAAAAGTGCATAATTGATTAACAAAGACGTCTTAAAGACGCATTTTTTTTATGTCTTTTCATGACAAGATAAAGACAAAAAAGACGCCTTTTCGATGTCGAAAAAAGATGTCTTTTAGGTTTGCATAATCGATTTAAAAAAGACGTCTTAAAGACATCGTAAATAAAACTTTTAAAGACGTCTTTTCGATGTCTTTTTTCCCACTGGGTAATAATATTAGTCTAATTTTTTATAAGATTTATTGCGAAGATATGATCAACTTCATATAAAATAATAATGTTTTGAAACAAATGTTTCCGAATAAAAAAATTGTTTCCGCCAAATGATCTACCCTGCTCATGTTTGTTAGCCTGGTGGAAAAATGAAGAGTGGAAATATTTATAGATATTTTTTATTATGAAATGTTCTAAATTTGAGAACCAATGTTCACATATAAAAGTTATGTCACGAGAGAGAATAAATAATTTGGTATACTCAAAATTAGACTTTAGATCGTGGCAGTTGAAAGTACATAAATTAAATCTTCCTTAAAAATATTTCCTAAACCCATTTTGATCTATTAAAATCTTCCTGGTTTCCGTTTGTTTTCATATTTTGAGTTATGTTAGTATGTAAATGTTTTTTGTGGTATGGTTTAACTATTATATTGTTATCCCATAAAGCAGGGTTAAATATTATATTTTTTTCTGTGTTGTTTATGGAAACTTTGTATGATCTATTGTATTCATTTTCTTTATTCAATATAACAGATAAGAGGGAGATTCCTATTTCTGTTTCTAGATAATTTTTAAAAAGTTCTCCATTGATTTTATTGCTTACCCCTCCGACAAAAATGTCAAATACGAATTATTCTTTCATCTGCAATTGTTTTATTTTCAGAAACTTTGTTCCGAAAACGGGCTCTGAAATTCTATGCTTTATTACCAATGAACAATTTTGTGTTTTGTGATTAGATTTACTATTTCGGCACACTAAAGTGAAATTATTTTTATCATTGTTGGTGTTTGATGCGTGTAGTTGTTTATCGAATTTGATTTTTTAATTTATATTTGTGGTCAACATGGTGTCGATTTGTTGTCAATTTGTGATTGAGTGAGTTTGAGTTACTACATTTGCGAATGTTTTTAATAGTTGCGGTTTGCATTCAGCGTTTAAAAAAGACTTGCGTTTTTTGAGTTAAATTTTTTGTAGCATGCTACAGAAAATGCTGGGTTGTTAATTTTATTTTCACATTGCGTATAACTATCTATCTTTAATTTCGATATTTGACACGGCTGTAAGAGACCATAGTCATAGTATTTAGTTAAATACTATGGCTATGAAGAGACTTATATCCAATTCCAAATGTCTGTTTTCTATCTTAAGTTTTTCAAAAAGTTTAGTTTGGAAAGTTATTTTTTCTTTCAGCAGTTCTTTTTTTATCTCTATGAGTTCTTCTTTTATCTCTATGAGTTCTTCTTTTATCTCTATGAGTTCTTCTTTTATCTCTATGAGTTCTTCTTTTAAAAGAAGAAAAGAATCAACAAAAAAAAAGAAATAAAATTTTATTTCTTTATTTTCTTTTGAATTTCTTTTGAGATATGTAACTCCTCTACAAATATAGTTAAAAATTTATCGCTGGGCAGTTTATGTTTGCAATAACTAAGTCTTTTGGATGAGAACAAATTTCCTCAATATTTTTCAAATTTTTTTTTGAAATGTATAAATGTCACACTTTAAATAGATAAACATCTCCTCGATTGAACGTGGTGCCATATTGGTTTTATTGACAAATTCTTTTTAAATTTCAAGTTTTATTGATAAAAAACCATATTGTAAAGAATAAACTTCATTTATTTTTTAATATCAGTTTTATTTTCTCTGTAAAAACCACGTCTTGCTCTCTTGCGTATGTTTGCGAAATATTACAACCTAGATAAATTTACAAATAAATTAATGGCCGGACCAAAAAGAGGACACTATTTTTGTCTTATCGCCAAGCACCGTGTTACAAAATATATTTTTTACAAATTTTTTTTTCCAAGAGTATAAAGTATAAACTACGAAATAAATAAAATAACATACTTAACTTTGTCCTTTTTGCCGATGATACGCAAGTGTTCTTTAGCCACACAAACATTAGCCTATTATTTAACACTGTTAATCAAGAACTTGAAAACCTGAACGAATGGTTTAAGGCTAACAAACTCTCCTTAAATGTCGAAAAAAGTAAATATATTCTTTTTACAAAATTATCAAAATCTGAAACCCTCCCCTTAAAACTACCTGATTTACTAATTGATAAAACTAAACTTAAACGAGAATACTCAATCAAATTTTTAGGCGTAATTCTTAATGAACATCTTAGCTGGAGTAACCATATCAAAGTAATAGAAAATAAGATATCAAAAATTATTGGTATTATGTATAAAACAAAACATCTCCTAAACACAAATTGTTTAAAAAATATTTATTTTGCATTTATTCATAGCTACATCAGCTACTGCAACATTATCTGGGCAAGTACTTATCCTTCAAAGTTAAATATGATCTACAAAATACAAAAACGAGCAATTCGCTTGATATTAAATGCAAATAAATACGCTAGTGCCAAACCACTACTAAGAGAAATTGGAGTGCCTAATGTCTATGAAATAAATATTCTTAATATACTTATTTTCATGTTTAAATTTAAAAATGGTATGCTACCAAGCATTTTCCAAACTTATTTTTTTTCTTTAAACCACAAATACGAAACTAAATACTCAACAAATAATTTTATTATACCAAAAACATTATCAAAACAAGCTGATTTTTCGATATCTTGCCGAGGGCCGCGGTTATGGAACTTGCTTTTAACAAACAATATAAAAACTTTAAATTCAACTCAACATTTTAAACGTGCAACAAAACAACACTTATTTGGTTTTGACACAAAGCAATTACTATCGTATTATTAAAAACTTTTGGTAATCTTAGTTATTTAATGTCTTATAAATTGACTCAACATCACAATTATATTGTATGGTGCTTAGTACATGTATGATATTATTTTATTTTACAATACGTAATTTGTAAATGAAATATTTATTATATCTTACGCAATTTTTAGATGGAATGTAATACAGATTTATTTGATTTGTATGTATATATGAACGGACATATATTTGTGTGAACGTGTGCGTATGTGTGTGTGAATGTGTGTGTGTATGTGTGCGTATGTGTGTGTGCGTGCGTGTATAATAAAAATTAAAGTCGAATAAAATAGAGAATTAAAAAATAATAATAATAATAACGAGAAGAAATAATTTATATTTTTTTTTTTTTAATTTTTTTCTCTTTCTGTAAATAATAATTTGATTTTTAAGTTCTTTTCTTCTTAAAATCAGTTCTTGCTTTAGTTTCTTTTTTCCTTTTTCATTTTTATCGGCTGAATTTTTTAGTTATATTAACGGGGCTGGATGATAAGATCATGTCTTCTGCCAGCTCCGGTCGAAACTTTAATGTTATAATTTTTATGTTGTAAAAAAACATTGTAAAAGATTATTCATTTAATGACGAAATAAAAAAAAAAAAAAAAATAAGATAAATGTTTACAAAAACATTAAAATAAGATTATCTTAATTAATAGGAAATACCATAAATAAGTAAGATAAAACAAAAAGAATCAAACAAACATAACAAAAAACAAAAAAAACAAAAAAAACAAAAAAAAACAAAATCTAAAAAAAGAAATAAAAAGAAAGAACTAAAAAAATTAAAGAAGTAAAAAAAAAGTTTAAAAAGATGCTAATAATGATAATGATTAGTTGTAAGTAATTATTTAATTCAGTTTTACATTGTTTTTTAGTTGATATGGCGTTTTCGGGAGGCTGAATAGGCATAAGTGCGAACTGGCATAAATGCAAAGCGTTGCAAAAACTGGCATAAGTGCGAACTGGCGTATGTGCAAATTCGCCAAAAGATTTTGCAAACATTGGCATAATTGCAAACTGTCATAAGTGCGAACTGGCATTGGTGCGAAGCAGTTGCAAAAACTAACACGAACTGGCATAAGTGCAAAGCAGTTGCAAAAACTAGCGCGAACTGGCATAAGTGCAAATTAGCATAAGTGCGCCTAACAAATTGGCTAACATTGGCATAAGTGCGAATGGGCACACGTGCGAACTGGCATAAGTGCGCCGAATAAAACTAAAATTATTGGGCTAAGTGAAAATAGGTATTTCGTACTTATGCCTATTCGCACTTATGCCAATTCGCACTTATGCCAATGTTTGCAAATTTATTCGGTGCATAATGTCAGTTCGCATTTATGCATAATTCGCAATCATGCCAGTTTTTGTAATTGCTTCGTACTTACGTTAGTTGGCACTTATGTCATTTTGCACTTATGCCAATGTTTGTAAATTTATTCGGCGCACTTATGCCAATTCACACTCATGCCAGTTCGCACTTATGCCAGTTTCTGTAACTGCTTCGCACTTATGCCAGTTCGCACTTATGCCAATGTTTTCAAATTTGTTCGGGGCACTTATGCTAATTCGCACTTATGCCAGTTCCTACTTGTGCCAGTTTTTGCAACTGCTTCGTACCTATGCTAGTTTGTACTTATGACAGTTCGCACTTATGCCAATGTTTTCAAATTCTTTTGGCGCACTTTTGCCAATACACGCATATACCAGTTCGCACTTATGCCAGTTTTTGTAACTGCTTTGCACTTATGTCAGTTCACACTTATGACAGTTTGCACTTATGCCATTCGCTCTTAAGCTAGTTC